TGTATTTCCTTTCTTCAGCCTATTATCATTGCTTATGCAAGTGTGTTTGCATTTTAAGAGTCATACCCAGTAGATCACCACAGGATAGAGTTATCAGTTGGTTCATCTTCGTTCTGAGTATTGAGAATCTGCTTCTCTCTAATGTAAATTTGTGCAAACGATAATGGTTGGATCTACCATGAACTCCAGTGGCTGGCGTAATCCACTCAGTATCTGCAGTATACATCTCACCCTTTTTTGTAACTACTTAGTGTGAGGCTTAGCCAGGGTTTTTAATATGTAGTGGTGCTTTTCTAGGGGTTGTGATTGAGATTAGGTTGTCTTTGGGTATGTACATGTTACAGTACAAATCCGGACAATCGTAATGTTGCAGGATCCGATATAAGTAAGTTAGACCATTCAATCTGACTTGATTCAGTATGTTTTTTTATCTGTTATAGTCTTATTATCCTTGCATGCTTTCTGAATGTAAGTTTATCCATAACTATCAATTAAACTTGTGGTGATTTAGATTAAGCGACCTTTTGAAGTAGTGTCTGGGATTTCTCATAGTCAGGATAATTTTTTTGCCTTATTGAGTTTGATTTGTGCAGTTTACCTCTTCTTAGTCGCCTGATTCATACTCTGGTGTGCAAAGACACGACCATATTTTCAAAAATTGGTGAAAGTCCAGACTTTTGACACCATATTTTCAAGAAGAACACTATGACACCTTAGTTCGCCATGCGTGAGAAGCCCCTCACTTCTTGACTCTTTTTTTTTTTTTTTTTTGGTTGCTTTCAGTGAGGAAGCCACAATATACAAATTAATGATTGGACTTGAACCATATTGTTTTGTTTGATTCCAATTTTCCTTTGCTGTACGCTTTTGCATTTCAATCATAGAAATTCCTCATCTGATTATTCATACTTCCTTTGGTTGCACTTGCACAGGATGATGATCCATATTGTTTTTCTTGATGAGGGGCAAAATTATAGGAGATGAGTTGCGCTGAATATTGCAGCAGAAAATATGGGAAGGCGGCTAGGTGGGTTGGTTAACTTTTGAGATGGTAATCATGCTGTAGAATTTGGCTTCGTGTTTTTTTTTCCTTGGCACGAGCGTTGCATTATAAGTAAGGTTAGGCAAAATAGTGTTTCAGATCCTGTAGTCGTTGAGATTGGTACTTCTAACATTCTCATCATAAGTCAAAGTGTGCAATGGAATGAATTATAATTGAATGAAGATGTGGTTTATCTATGGGAGGATTTCTTTGCTGAAAGCTAATGGTTGTGTTTATCGATAGGAGAGACTTTCCTTCCAAAGAATGATGTGAAAATTGTTTCTGCTTGCTTGAGATCTCTACGTCAGGTCAGGTCGTGAAAAGGACGACCGCAATCACTGCATTGATCGTCTTAACTGATCAGTTGTTTCCCTTTGCTTCAAATCCATACATTGTGATGATTGGCGTCTGTTTTTTAAAGATGAATGCTAATTGATGTTTGGGCTTGAATGTGTCATGACATAAATCATAATTGGTTCAAATGCTGCAGCACAACTTCTAAGTGCCCAGCAATGTTTATGTTTCATGATGTCCAGTTAGGTCTTCACTTTTTTAGCCAAAAATTTACACAGTTGTACTTTGTGCTTCAACTTTACCATGACATGCATAAATGAAGCTCACAAGTTGTAATCTTTGGCATAAACTATATGAGCCTTCAAATTTTAGCAACAAGACATGTTTTTTTTCTTTTATGACCTACTGTTCTATCACTCTCATGAGTTTGCACAATTTTCGGAAACCTTTCAGATCTCTCTATGATTATGTCAACCAAAGGGGCCGTTAATGTGTTTGCTTGCACTATTTGTACCCGTTCATGAAAATTGCTATATGTAGTGCGTCACATATCACAAATTTTCGCCCGTCGCGAAGCGCGGGCTTTCCTTACTAGTTATTATATCATACACACTTAGTGCATGCATGTTTTCTCGACCTTTTTTTCCCACTAAGACCTAATACGTGATACTCGATTCCAAACTCGCAGACAAAACACACATTTAAAATTTTAAGTACTATATATGTTCACAATTTTTCATCTTAACGTAGCTAGAATAGGTACAAACTTAATTTAGGGGATGATATTATATATCTCCATACTCTCCACGTTGGAATAACTTAACAAATAGGTACATGACAGTAAATCAGTAATATATAATAAAAAAACTGACATATATTTGAAGTATACCGTATTTCAAATAATCTCGGCATACTTCGTTTTCTGCAGCGTATAGGCAAAAGCATCTTTCTTTCCAAGTTCCAGTTAGGAAACTTCAAAAAACGTATACATATGTTTCAATTATTAAAGGCTCAACTTGAGCCGAAAAACGACAATATATGTCGATAATTAAGCTAGATATAGCTTGATCTATAGACTACACATATATATTCACCGCCCACATAATAAGAAGTTAACGTCGACATGTGTGTTTAGCTGTTTATATAAACTGATTGCAACTAAATGGCAAGTTTGAAAGAAGGTTTGATTAGTCTAACTCTAATACCATTGGATGGTCGCATTTAGTTTATTGTAGCCATGCATTCATTTGTTTATGGTATCGATTAATGGTTACTGCTTGTTTACTGGCATCGATTATCAAGTTTAATTTGTAATATATATTCAGTAGTGGTCGTGACTTGGAACTAATATAGACCATCCGTCATACGCGCATAAGCCAATCATTACTTGATATCCTAAAATGTATAAGCTATGTGATTTTCTAACATTGATTGTTTTCTTTCTACTGATTCTCGTACATCTTTAAATTGGACTATGAACATACCATTATTAGATCATATAAATTCCAGAAAACCACATGAAGAAGTGGTTGTTTGAATGCAACGTTTTTGGCTATGATCAACATTATAAGCATTCCAAAGAGCATAGTTAATTACACATAAAAAAAACCGTGACCATTTTTCCCCACCTACGTTGACAGTCTTCTTGAGAAGCTGGTTGTCAATACGCCGAACAAGGACGCGGACGCTTCTTCGGGCGACACGAGGTAATTCGCTTCGATGTTCCCGTTAATGGACGGTAACGGCGGCGCCAGGGGCGAAGCCATTTGTTACAGTGGCGTCACCGGAGATAGCTGCAAGCAATGTCTAACGGAAGCGCGACCGTACGTCAGTCAGTGCAGAAACTACACCACCGGCGGAGCTAAGTACGACGGTCGATGCATCATTCAGTTCTGGGAGCTCTCGCCTTAATCATTAAAATGTATCGATATTGGAGGATCGATCGATGATCCCTATGAGGTGATGATCACTCTTCCTCGTGTATTAGTTCGTACTAGTGTTTGAGTACTAATGTACTATGCATGGATTTTAATTATTGCGTTGTTGTCGAATGTATAAGTTGAATAAGTAACATAATAAAGGGGGAGATTTGGGAGTTGTGGAAAGTACAATGTGTGAGGGCCTAAAGAGTTCATTAACCTATTTCAAAATAGATAAGAATTATCATGTCGTCGTAGCTGATTTCATGAAGTTATGTGGAAGTTATGAAAGCGCTTTATCTCAACTCGCTGTTATCCGATGGATTCCATGAAAAGAGTGAAAATAATACATCTATTCAACAACCATCAGATGGAAAGACTAATACGTACATTTGAAAAAGTCATGATCTACATGTTGGGATGATGAGTTTCGCTCTCGCGCCACGCGAATGAAGTCAGGGAAAGGAGGAGAGAGGCGAGGTACTGGTCTGGGACTTGTCGTCGCGTCTGGATGGGTGATGGTGAATGTCGATGCAACAACAATCTATTGAAGGAGAGGGTTCGGGATAAGGGTTGGTGGCGAGGGATTCCAGTTTCCAACGATGTATATTGATTATACATGATACGTGCTAGTGGCGAAGAATTATTCCAATGGTGTCTGTCGATTAGCAGTCTAACGATACCAACCTATAATATATAATTTGATTAGTAGTGATATGCCCGAGTCTCTATAAATTCTCCCATAAATATTGTACAACATCCAATATATAAAAAATATATCATTTAGGTGATATAATATGTGTTCCCCCATACTTCTAAGTTGCAAATCCATGGCAAATCATCATGGTCCATGAATTAGACAACACATCCACATTGGTTTTTTTTGGGAGGTTGGACACATCTCTAGCCAACATATCAAAATCGTCATGTCTCCCAAAGGTATACCAAAGCCCTACACGTACAACCACCCAATTCATCATCAACCATTATCTCCTTGTGTACGATTTTGCCAAACTTGGAACAACCCTATCAATTCAAGCTACAAACGCCATAACTAACTTACCCAACCTTCAATTGACCAATACATCGAACCCTTTACACAAAGTCCAACCCACCGATTTTGGGCCCAAAAATCTCCCTTCCACATACACACAATACCATCCCCAACATACGTACAATCATGGGTTCCTTTATTCCCTCACAACACCTAGACAACAAAGAACAACCCCAATTTTTCCCATTACCAAATCCAATCAACACCCTCCACAACCTTATTCTCTTCAAAAAACCTCAAAACCCCTTTTCCTTAGTATTTGTCTCAATTGCCATGTTATATGATCTCCACACCACATGTATCCTTGCCCTTGCCAAACCCTACAACATTGTGACACTCAACCCAACCAATTGTCTCTCCCCCAGCTCATGATTGACAAATGTCATCACAATGATCCACTCGTCCCCTCATCTCCCCCCTCTATATAACACGACATACCAATTCAATCGAATTCTCCATCAAAACATCTCTCGAAACAAGTAACACTCAACCCACGCAAAAAAAAAAAAAAACTCATCATCCTTTTGTTATGCTTTCCCCTTCACCGTCGCTTCTTTGTTGTCTCGTTAAGAACTTCTTATTACGTTACCATCTCGATATCAGTTTGGCTGAGTCACTTGTATAAAGAAAACCCATTTGAGATTTGGCTATTCTTCTTCTTCTTCAAGCAATCATGGTGGTGGTGAGCCCAATGAAGCTCCTCAAACTGGCCAAGAAGTGGAGGAAGCAAGCTTCCATGAACGGCGACAACATCATCATTTCACTTCCGATCTTTAGAAGCAACAGTGGTAGGGCACGGTTGCTTCTCAAGGGCCATTTCGCCGTGTACACGGTGGAGGATCAGAAACGTTTCATGGTCCCAATGTGTTGCTTGGAGGATCAAATTTTCAGGCAGCTGCTGGAGATGTCGGAGGAAGAGTTTGGGCTTCCTGGGAACGGGCCCATTAGATTGCCCTGTGATGCGCTTTTCATGGAGGGCCTGGTTTCATGGATCAAACGGCGGGAAGCTGCCGACCGTGATCTGATCAGGAAGGCGCTGATTATTGCTTCTTGTGTTGGTAACGGCGGTCGGTTTGAGGTGTCGTGTCCGTCGCCGTTAGTGGCGTTGGGTGATTATCATCGCCGGAAACCTACCGGCGGCCAACAATTCATGGTCTCTAGTTATTGAATGCATATGAACAATATTAGTGTTATTCATTTTTGTTTTTGTTTTGTTTTGGGTAGATGAATAGATATCCCATTATGTAATGCGTTGATCATGTCGCAAATGTTAAATGGGCTGAGACGCGCGTGGCAGCTAGCAGAAGTGGCTAATTTGGTTGATAAATAAATGATATTTCATTTAAGCATTGTGATTCCTAATTCGTTACAATTTTTATGAGGATGAAATAATATTTTTCATGAGAGTTTCATAGAATATTAGGGTTAAAACTGGAAATTTTATTTACGTAAATTCAACGTTAATTTTAACCATCTGAACTGTAATTGTTTGTTTTTTGTTTGTGAGAATACACTATGTAATTGTAATTGATGACAAAGTAACATTCCAATATATTCTATGAAAGACAAAATATTGGCACTAAGTGTGATCACAAGTGTTGGCATCTACTATGCTAATTTAAGTAGTGTTGTGTAAAATCATATTAGTAAACTTACCCATGAGGAATATATTGATAACAAAAGAAAGAACTCAACAATCAGGAACATAAATCCACCACTTGTTGTGACATGAAATGACAAACATCTAAAATATTATCTAAATTTTTTCCTCCTTAAATGTGTAATCTATATGTTGATGCTCAAAATGAGAGACAAAAAAACTACAATAGTTTGGAAACAAATCCAACTATCTATATAAGTCGTCTTCTACTCAAATATAAAGAGATTTTTAAGCCGAAAAGCCAGAGAAAATTAGATCAACTACTAAGATTCATATATGTATATATCAAACATCATGTGCAAATTAGAAAATGCTTAACTAATATATATTTTCCACGCTTACACATCATTTTCATACAATTTGACAAAATGTATTTTACTAATAATCTGTGGTTATTATTAGATAAAAATTTATTGAGAATCGATTATTAGATAAAAATTTACAATAACACACATAGGTATATTTTATTATCTCGATATAAATAAAGCCCTCTATATAAGCTCCATATATATAGGAAAAAAAATGTACAACCTCAAAGTACACACTGATAATTACTACATAATTCATAGACAACATACTCCCTCAAGAAAGAAAAATACAAAATTGCACCTCCCAAAAGCCTCAAAACAATTACCATAGAGCAATAATCGTTGGGCTTCCAAACTCTTCTTAGTAAAACATATTGATATTAATATATTATACCATATAATCCGATCTTCAGTCTAGGAAAGCAAGCTGCTCCTTGAACGAAACGCCTTCCGCCCTCCGGCGCCACGAACCGGCGAAGCGGTCGCTAAAGATCCCTTCTTCCCGTCGCTAATAACCCCATTTCCCCACGGATCATTTTCATCTTTAGCGACGATATCCCCTGACTTTTGGATTCGCCAAACGACGTCTTCGAGGAAAGCCGCGTCGCAGGGGACCATGATGGGACCGTCGCCGGAGACGCCGAACTCTTCCTCGGACCTACGAAACAGGTCCTGGAAATTCCGGTCGCCGAGGTAAGATAGCGGGAGGACGAATCGCTTGAAGTCGTCGGTGTAGACGACGAAGTGTCCCCTGTTTGCGACAGGGGAGGAGTTGAACTTGCCGATGTCGAAGTCCACGCCCTCGTAGTTGGTCCTGGTGTTGAAGCTCATGCTCTTCTTCTGCCATTTCTTGGCCATCTTGATCAGCTTCTTTGGGCTTATCATGGTTAATTTGATTGATTGAGAGGTGATGATTGAGTGATTAGGGAGGGATTAGGGGGATGAGGGGAATTGGTTAGAGAGGGGGTGAAAGGAAATGGTGGATTTATAGACGATTTTGGGGATGGGTGGTTTTTGGATTAGTTTATGGGATGTGGGTTTTGGATTTTGGGTGAATAGTTTTTGGGTAGGAATGGGGACAAATAATAGTATACAAAAGTTTTTGGCTTGTTAATAGAACCCGATCAGGACGATCGGTTAGACCAGTAGAATCGTCAATCAATTATAATTACTCGTCGATCTGTTTGTGTGGATGGTTACCAGTGGAAAAAGGTGATTGTTAGCGATCAGACTTTGAACTAGTCAAATCGTTCTGATCTAGCTAACCGATGATTCATTGGTTCAATGTTTCGACCTCGGAAACATGAAAGCCAACCATAATTAGATTTCTTCTTCTTCTTTCTACTACCTCTTTAATTCGGATCTGGCGAGTCATTTCTATCAACTTCTTCTTTATTTCCACCTTCTTACTCTTGATACTAAGCTACTTAATCTATTATATGAACTGTTATATGCAAATGATTCATTCACCAACGAGCGATTATGCGAGAATTAGTCATTAAATCGTGAACTATTGTATTTTTCGGTTTGATTTGATATTCAATCCGATTCTCAAAACATAAGTTTTTGAAGGGAAGGAGATGCGTCTGGTTTTCGAATCAGTTTTGGGGTTTTGTTAGCCTTATTTAATTGAGAGATTAGTGTCCTCGGTTACCGACTAAACTTTACCATTTGCCCTGCGGCATGATCCTGGCTTCTGGATACAATCCAAATCCAAATAGACTACTCCATAAGTTGACAAGAAGAGTTGGTGGTGCATGGTGGGTTTTGAAGAGGTCAATAAACATAGAAAAGATTTTTGGATGGCTTGGGTGAAGTTCATGTTAACACATATGACATGTTCGAATATGATCGGAACAACATCGTCGATTCAATATGAATTGGAATTATGTTATTTTGTTGAACGAATGATCGGTAATGTTGTAAAAAAACATGCGGATTGTCATCAAAACCAAAGAATTCATGAATGTATACATACATTTGTAAATAACAATCGTCTTTGCTCGACTCGTAAGAGATCTCACCATCGATCATTTTCGTCCATTCAAACCACTAATTTTATACGACTCCATGAACAAAGAAATATGAAAAGATCTAGCGTTGCAATTCGAGCTGAATTGTACTTGGCTGAAATGTACATGGCCGATGTGAAATGTACTTATTTGTTTAACAAACGTAGGTTGGATTTTGGGCAGGGGAACTCAAGAGTCTTTCAAGTACAAAATAGCAGCATAAAGATTGTACTTTTATGGGATTGTTTTCATTATCCACAAGCCGTTAACATGGCAGCATATAGAGATTTCTGAACTCTCAAAGACCAGAGAGATCATGTCCTCCCTCTTGTCTGGTTTGTAACGTTTGGACAATCTAGTACTATTTTTGCCACATGTCTCCCAAACCAAACAGTAATTGTCAAAATCTTGTTTGCCAAGGTACCAAAATTTGGTACTTTTCTCAATCATACCCTAAAACGGTAGAGTCCAAGTTCTCCATCTACTTTTTTTAACATTTACCCTAATCCAAAACACCTACCAAAAGCCAAAAATTGGGTCTAAAAGTTCCCCTAATCTCCCTTATTCTACTAATTGACATAGTCTTTCTTTCAGAACCCATAGATGACAAAAGGCTGGTGGGTTTGCTCCAAGCCACAAGATTGCCAACAGCTAGAGTTTCTTTCTGCTGAGATGCTCATCAGCAGAGCTTTTACCATATCTTCTGGTATGGATCTATGGCTTTGGACCAAACCGATGAGGTATTCGAGGAAGCTTGGGTGGCAAGGTAGGGTGATGGGTCCATCACTTGGCAATCCAAGCTGCTCTTCAGACAATCTCAAGAGCTCTCTGAATATGGTGTGGTTCAGAAACTCCAGTGGGATCACAAACCTTCTTCTGCTCCTTCCATCATCTGTTACGTGCACTTTTGCACTAATGGGATTCAGGAAGAAAGAACGAGATTAGAAGAAGAATAATGGAGAAAAGATAGATAGATTGGTAGAAAAGAAGTGTTCTCTTTAATGGCGAGAACTGAACCCCTAAGCTTTTTCGAGGAAAGCCAACCTCCAACAAGACTCTCGTCTTTTACATTTTTCTTCTCTGCCTTCTTCAACCTTAACCACATTCTTAAATAGTAAACCAATAGCTAATCTAACTAAAAACTAGGAGTTAGCCGATAACCCTCCCCTTAATTTTAGTTAACCACTAACACAATAACCCTACTAACCCACGTCTAACAATAATAAAATCCTAATTCTAATGAACAAACTAAATTAATTAAAACATAATTAAATTACATAACATTCCATCTCCCATCGGAAGATTCTTGTCCTCAAGAATCAGCCATGGATTCCGTCGAGAAGCAACCAACAGCGAGCAGAGGCCGAGGGAGCGGTGAGTGACGTCGAACAGTTCACTTGAGTTGCGAGCATGGGCGGCCATAGTATGCTGTCGCGGAGGAGGAGGCATGGGACGGTGGTGATGAATCGGCGGCGACGGCTGGATGTGGAATGTCTATCTCATGTGACTGTGAAGGATCTCTCCTACCCAAGAGGCAGCAACTTTGCCTCGTACAAGGTTGCAATCTTCAAGCCTTGTTTGACATCGTAGCTTATTTTGATGGACAAATAATTGGGCGGTTGGATAGAGCTAAGAGTAGGGTAGGCGGAATTTAGAAGAGAACGATTAGGAAGGCTGTTTCCGAGAATGAAGAAGAATAAGTAGGGCAACAATGATGGGAGTGAAGAAAACGAGATAGAGAAAGGTGGATTGGGCACAACCAGCTCTGATACCAAATGTTACATGCACTTTTGCACTAATGGGATTCAGGAAGAAAGAACGAGATTAGAAGAAGAATAATGGAGAAAAGATAGATAGATTGGTAGAAAAGAAGTGTTCTCTTTAATGGCGAGAACTGAACCCCTAAGCTTTTTCGAGGAAAGCCAACCTCCAACAAGACTCTCGTCTTTTACATTTTTCTTCTCTGCCTTCTTCAACCTTAACCACATTCTTAAATAGTAAACCAATAGCTAATCTAACTAAAAACTAGGAGTTAGCCGATAACCCTCCCCTTAATTTTAGTTAACCACTAACACAATAACCCTACTAACCCACGTCTAACAATAATAAAATCCTAATTCTAATGAACAAACTAAATTAATTAAAACATAATTAAATTACATAACATCATCATGATCAGCAGTTGTGTAGACTGCAAAATGACCTTTTTTCACTTCAGTCACCTCATCTTTTCTTCTGGGAAATGTGATCCTTGTCCCTTTCTTGTGGGTAGCTGCTGCCATTCTCTGCCACTTTCTTGCCAATTGGAGGAGCCTTCTTGGGTTGATCTTCATTTGGGTGGATATAAGGGAAAGGGGAACAAGTTTCTGAGAGGGTTTGTTTTTGCCTGTGTTCTTGTTCTTCTTGTTGTTTGCTGTTGGATGATGGTAAGCTTGATCACAGATGGGGTTTTCTTCATATATTTATATGTAGGTAAAGATATGACTGTGTGGACAGAATTTGGAGACAAGCAGCTTGGAGCTGTCTGGTGTTCTGTCTCCTGATGGCTGTGTTTGGCCATGTCCATGTGACTGTGTCATGGGAGCATTGAGCCATGGCCAGTAGATATCACTTGGTTGAGTTTTGGTTCATTATGGTTGCTTGGTTTTGGAGATGATTTGATTGCACAATCAAAGCTGTTGAGTTGGCTATTGGGAAGAATTTTTTAGTGCTCATTCAAAGTAGAACTCTTCCTATCAAGTAATCAGCATAATCGTATTTTCAAACTTCGAAAACAAAAATGTTTGATCTAGTCGGAACAATCTCACTAGAAACAACGAATTAACTGACTGCAGGGTGAATTGTAGTTTTATGGATGGAGAATGAGCTTCTGACGTAATAGTTAAGAGAACGAGGCAATCGACCACCACCACGAGATATGGTTGTTAGAGGTTAAATAGTTGACAATGTAACATGTTTAGGTTATAGACTGGACGTGCTGCAGAAAGCATTTTGTGGTTTTGCTGTGTTTTTCTGACAACTGGTTTCTCGCATGGACAGGAATATGGGCCCAGAAGAAGGGAGTTAGTTGGGCGTTCAAAGTATGTGGAGGTGGATGGATCATATGCCCAAAATCTTTTGTGGGCTGCTTAATGTTCATTGGAGGCTTTGCAGCCGCCACCTAAAACAACAGTTTGGCCCAACCTCACCACGTTCTCTCTGAAAGACTCTTCACCATTCAAAAAGGAATGAGAAATGAGAACATAAGCCGCCAAAAAAACAGTTGTGTGTCTAAATAGAAGTTGTCTCCCTGAGAAGACATAAATTTCCCTTCAATTTGTAGCCTCAAATGGTTCAAGGGTCACATCCTTCATACAGCTAAGTGTTGATGGTTACCTACTTGCTATTAAGGCATTGTTTGTCCGGTTCGTTATGGATGTTCGTACGAAGTGGTAAACAACTGGTTGGTTATAGAGTGTGAATTCTTGATCATGTGGTTAGGTTAGGGACAAAGTGATCAATACCCGCTTTCAAGAGTAGACGTATTTAGTCCATTCAGATGATGAATGAAAAATGAGAATTTTATGACATATATGTTCCATCCTGATTGGATCCCGTTAAAAATAGTCAACTCTCAAGAATAGGGGTGTGGGCATTTGTCGATTCGGTTCATAAATGGGGGGAATCGAGTGCTCAAAAAATTCGACTAGAACCGGATCAAAAGCAGTTTTTGGTTGATTTGGTTCGATTCTTTGCGATCTAAATTCAATCTACTTTTTCTTCAAAATTAAGAAAAATCTCTAAGACCGAGACATGATTAAACAATATTTGATACGATCCGATTCAATATTGATTCGGGTAAATTTCCCATTGGAGTGTATCAAATCATACCCACCAATCTGCGTGGTGGTAGTGTTTTGCATGGAGATTTACCAAGACAACTGGGCCTTATGGGCCTGAAAGAATCCCCTTCGGACCAAACATCAAATCAACAACAAACGGGCCCGTTATTAGAAAAGCCTGCAAAGTGCGGGCCCATCGAGAGGCATTCTTTCCACTCTCTCTGTTTGTTCGTTTGGTTATCTGCTAAATGCTAATAACGAATGAATTTGCAGTTGAAATTGAACATGTGGATGGCTGGCTAGAGCCTGGAAGAGAGCTTATCTCCTTCTCCTTCATGTTTCAATCGAAAGTTTCCGACTTTACTTCCCAATTCCACAACACAAAGAGGGAAGTGAACTGTGCGTTCTTGTTTTAGTGAGCGAACGGCCATGGCTGGTCCTCCGAAACTGTGCAGCAGCATCCATGGCGGGAAATCCCTCTTCCCATTTCCCGCTTCTTCTTCAAGCTTGCTTGCCAAACCCATCTTCCCCCTGAATGCTTACACCGGTTCTGCCCTCTCAACTGGTAAAGAAAATTGCCCAATCTCGCGTTTAATTGGTGATAACTGTGGCGACCCCATTAGATAGCACACAAGCTGTTGTTCGATTATCCCACTGTAAATTGGCTGCCTTACAGTCTGGGGAAAATTGTGCAGGAGGATTGAGCTGCAGGCACGGCTTGTGGAGAAGAGCTGGGGGATTGAAGTGTAGAGCGACAAGCACACCAGGTTTGTTGAGTTAATTATCTGAGGTGTCCGACTTGGGGGTTATAGTTTTCTTTCTTAAAGCATCCAATCTTCAGGTGGAAATGTTTCTTTTCAGCATCAGTACAGCCAGTGACTGATGGTGTGGTGGTGGAAGACAAGTCCAAGGAGAACTTGGTCAGTGGGGATTCCATACGCCGGAGGTTTATTGACTTCTATGCTTCCCGTGGCCATAAGGTTCTGCCAAGTTCTTCTCTTGTGCCTGATGATCCCACAGTGCTTCTTACCATCGCAGGGATGCTTCAGTTTAAGCCGATATTCCTCGGGAAGGTAAATGCTTGCAATTCACTACGAGTTTTTGGTTTTGCTGGAATTAGAACACAAGATAGACTACTGAATGAGACAAGTTTTAAGGGGTTTTCAAGCACTATTTGGTGCCATGAGTATTTTGTATTATCTGTTAAGGTACTTTCTATATGAACAAGTTGTCCCATTCACCAGGCTCCAAGAGAGTTTCCTCGAGCAACAACTTCACAAAAGTGCATTCGTACAAATGACGTTGAGAATGTTGGTCGAACAAGTCGGCATCATACATTCTTTGAGATGCTTGGAAACTTTAGCTTTGGAGATTACTTCAAGCGAGAAGCGATTAAATGGGCATGGGAGCTTTCAATAGAGGAGTATGTAGAGATATAATGCTGCTGTTAGTCAAGCTCTGGCTCCTCATTCCATTTTCAATTTGCAAGGAGAACTTCCTTCATATTCTTTTCCGTTTTACTATTTCAGATTTGGGCTTCCAGCTGACAGTGTGTGGATTAGCATATATGAAGATGATGATGAAACTTTCAAAATATGGCATGAAGAGGTTAGTCGGCCTTCATCTCCTTGAATCTAACTGTCGCGCAGAGCAGTTTTCTTTGAATTCCATGTTAACAGAATTTCATATCAGGTTGGTGTTCCTGTTGAGCGAATAAAAAGAATGGGTGCAGAAGACAATTTTTGGACTAGTGGGCCAACAGGTCCTTGTGGTCCATGCACCGAGCTTTATTTTGATTTTCATCCTGAAAAGGGAATTGGTGAAGTGGTATGCATTTCTCTTATTCTGAAATCCTACTACTTATTTCACTGTTTACCTGGTAATGTTGGTGTTGGTGGAACTTGTTTGCTGGTACCTTTCCATTTCTTATGGTTTCTCTCTCCATTGAATGTTGACTTGCAGGATCTTGGGGACGACAGTAGGTTTATAGAGTTCTACAACCTAGTGTTCATGCAGTACAACAGAAAGGATGATGGATCACTTGAGCCTTTGAAGCAGCAAAACATAGATACTGGGCTTGGTCTAGAGCGGTTAGCTCGCATACTCCAAAAGGTACCCTTCAAACTTCCGTTTGGCAAAATTTATACTAAAGCTTAATGGTGCTTTATAACAATATTTTGCTGCTTATAGAATTGATTTTGCTTCAAATGCAAAATCTTGCGACCTTTGCTATTTGTTTTGAGTTCTTTCTTCTGTCCTGCAGGTTCCCAACAATTATGAGACCGATTTGATCTATCCAATCATCCAAAAGGCCTCGGAGTTGGCAAATGTTCCGTACCATGGTGCTGATGATAAGAAGAAAATGCAACTTAAAGTACGCCGAGTCCTGAATATTTGTTTTCTCAAGTTTGCTCCACTATAACACCTCCACACTATATAAATTTTTGCAGATTATAGGAGATCATATGCGTGCAATTGTATACCTATTATCAGATGGAGTCCTCCCTTCAAATGTTGGCAGGGGCTATGTGGCTCGTCGCCTTATAAGAAGGGCTGTTCGAACGGGAAGGTTGCTTGGGATAAAGGGGGATTGTAAAGGTAACATTGAAGGAGCATTTTTGCCAGCCATTGCTGAAACAGTTATAGAAATGAGCACTTCCATTGATCCTGAAGTAAAAGTGAGGGCATCTCGTATTATTGGTGAGTTGCAAAGGGAAGAGCTTCGTTTTGTACTGACTCTTGAGAGGGGAGAAAAGTTGCTTGAACAAATGTTATCTGAAGCACTATCAAGTGCCAAAAAAATTGGAAGATCGTCGTGCTTGTCTGGAAATGATTTGTTTCTTTTATACGACACGTACGGATTTCCAGTTGAGATCACAACCGAAGTTGCTGAAGAAAAAGGGGTAGAGATAGACATGGAAGGTTTCTATGTTGAGATGGAGAACCAAAGGCGTCAATCTCAGGCCGCACACAATGTTGTTAAGCTTGATGTTGAAAATGGTGGAGATCTTGCTGAAATGGTTGCAGATACAGAATTTCTGGGATATGACACCCTTTCTACGAAGGCAATAGTCCAAAGCCTATTACTGAATGGGAAACCAGTGTTGCAGGTTTCTGAAGGAAACGAAGTAGAAGTTTTGTTGAACAAGACACCGTTTTATGCCGAGTCAGGTGGTCAAATTGGGGATCGGGGTTATCTCTATATAACAGAAGATCAAAGTGAACGGACAGCTGTTGTGCAGATACAAGATGTTAAAAAGTCTCTCGGCAGTGTGTTTGTTCACAAGGGAACCATTAAAGAAGGAGTCTTGGAGGTTGGCAAAGAAGTGGAAGCCAATGTAGATCCAAAGTTGAGGCAACGAGCTAAGGTCTGTGTTTAATTATGTTCCTTAAAATTTGCAGACATTAAATGCATTCGTAAGAATGACTGAACTGAAAACAGCAATTATAAAGGCAGTGAAGTTTCTCTTGATGCATTTGAGAGTCCGTCAACTATAGATTATCCGCTTAATAAAATGTATGAATTTTACAGGTCCACCATACTGCCACTCATTTGCTACAGTCTGCACTCAAGAAAGTTATCGGTGAGGAAACATCACAAGCTGGTTCATTGGTGGCTTTTGATCGTCTCAGATTTGATTTCAACTTTCATCGGCCACTTGTCGATAACGAGCTGGATGAAATTGAAAGATTGATAAACGGATGGATAGGTGATGCAACACTACTTCACACTAAAGTTTTGCCCTTGACCGATGCTAAAAAGGCAGGAGCTATTGCCATGTTTGGAGAAAAATATGGAGAGGAGGTAAAAGCTTTTCCTCGTGTTAGAAATTTGTGAGTGATTGGGTGCTTTACCTTGTGGGATAAGCCATTTTGCACTCCTAACCTTAAAGTTGTCACTTCTGTTGTCAACGTGTTGTAGGTACGCGTTGTGGAGGTTCCTGGTGTATCCATGGAACTTTGTGGTGGAACCCATGTCAACAATACTTCTGAAATTCGTGCATTCAAGATAATATCAGAGCAGGGGATTGCATCTGGAATCAGGCGAATCGAGGCTGTTGCAGGTGAAGCATACATCGAGTATATTAATGGAAGAGATTCCCAATTGAGACGACTCTGTTCCACTCTCAAAGTAAGTTTTGCCAACTATTCAAAATTATAACCCTCCATTGATGTTTCATATATATGCCAGTTCCATTTTTGGCAAGACTCAGTTCTCAAGTAGCTGGAATGTTGCTCCGCGGAAAAGTATAAGTTGAAATGAAGTAATTTGCTTCATATTTAGGGGATAGTAAACTGATTTAGTGGTGAAGTATCTCGAGTAATGATTTCCCCCAGAATAACTCTGTATTATTAATTCATGATGTGTTTTGAAGGTCAAAGCGGAAGAGGTTACAACCAGGGTAGATAACTTATTAGAAGAGCTACGAGCAGCAAGAAATGAAGTATCAACATTGCGTGCAAAGGCTGCAGTGTACAAAGCATCTATAATTGCCAGCAAAGTGGTCTCTATAGAAGCTTCAAGTCCAATTAGGTAAGCAATTTTCAATCACAATCTCGTTAAACTGCATAGTTGTTCAATAGATAAATGCTTCTGGTTTCTCATAGATGATCTCCATTTCTCTTATATCAGGGTCCTAGTCGAGAACATGGATGATGTGGATGCCGAGTCGCTCAAAAGTGCAGCGGAGTATTTAGTGGACTCACTGCAAGATCCAGCAGCTGTTGTCTTGGGGTCCACTCCGGATGAAGGTAAGGTTAGCCTTGTGGCAGCGTTTTCTCCAGGAGTTGTCAAATTGGGTGTTCAGGCAGGGAAGTTCATAGGGCCTATAGCCAAATTATGTGGGGGAGGAGGCGGTGGAAGGCCGAACTTTGCTCAGGCTGGTGGTAGGCAGCCCGAGAACCTGTCCAGCGCATTGGAAAAAGCTCGAACAGATCTTTTATCAGTTCTTACTGAAAAGTCAAGTCAATAATCAACTTTTAGAACTCTAGTAGACCTCTGCAGAAGAATCAGTCATCAACAACTGCTAGGCTCTACCATGCACATAATTATTTGCCCTTTTGACAAAGAAAGCAAGGAGCTACTTCCCTCACTTGGACCGTTCTTCAGCATTTCCAGCGCGAGGAACTGGGTACTTCCCTTGTGTGTTCTGGATATAGCCACAACAAGCATCTGTCAATCGTGAAATATGATCCAGTTATTTTTTCCCCATCTTCTCGTTGTAGATAATTGTCGATGGTGATTGTGCAGTTGCGATTCTAGAAACGGTTGTGCTGGTCTTTAGTGGGGAAGATCTTTGTGATTGTTTCTACATGCATTATTGTGATGTAGGAAGATGGAAGCTTAGTGCTAACCATCCAGAAACAGGATGGGCTGTCAAAGTTGTTGTGTTTGAATAGAATGAGACATACTTGATTTAGGTAAAGATTCTAGTACTGTTTTGTGTACATACATTATATGAAGGATTTGTATGCATATTAGTAGATTTTTTTCAAGTTGAAAGGTTAAGTTCAAGATGAGACAACATATTCTAATCCGAACTTCTCCTAGTTAAGGGTGTCATCTGAATTCAAGGCCAAACACTTTGCTGTTAGGGTGGAAGAATCAAACCAAAAGCCGCATAACTTGGCTGTCAAGGTTTGTACCAAGGTTGGAAGAATCAAACCAAAATCCAACAAAATATGTTGTTTAATCTACAAGACTTATAAGTTATAATATTTTATATTCCAATTCTCAAAGGATGAAAAGAAAAACTTAAAGCTATATCAGGAGGACTATCATTCTTCATTGTCCTAGACTCCTAGTAGGATTTTGTATTATGTTTCTTGCCATAAAAGGAACGGGTGCAAAAGGGTAACTTGGAGGGAACGGAGATAGCAGATAGGGTTTTCCTAAGCTATAAATAAATATTCTTACTAAAACAACTAATATTAGAGCAGGTAACAAGCGTCGAAGATCTTGCGGCGACACAAATCACAATGAAGGCGACGGAGAACTTGGTCAGTGGGGATTCGATACGCCGGAGGTTCATTGATTTCTATGCTTCCCGTGGCCACAAGGTTCTGCGAAGTTCTTCCCTTGTTTCCGATGATCCTACAGTACTTCTTACGATCGCAGGGATGCTTCAGTTTAAGCCCATATTCCTGGGAAAGGTAATTGCTTGCAATTCACAGCGATCATTGTGTTTGTTGTTTTGGCTGGAAGAAGAAGGCTTTTATAGGCTATTGAATGAGTCGACTTTTAAGGGTTTTTTCAAGCATTAAGTTGGCGAGGTAGTTTCTATGCGAGCAAGTTGTCTCTTATTCATGGTGATTCCACTTTCTATGTTAGGTTCCTAGAGCATTTCCTCGAGCAACAACTGCACAGAAGTGCATTCGAACAAACGACGTCGAGAATGTTGGTCGAACGAGCCGGCATCATACGTTCTTCGAGATGCTTGGGAACTTTAGCTTTGGAGATTACTTCAAGCGAGAAGCGATTGGATGGGCATGGGAGCTTTCAATAGAGGAGTATGTAGAGATAGAATGTTCTGCTGTTAGTCAAGCGCGCTGGCTCTTGTTTCCATTTGCAAAGAGAACTTCATTGATATCGTTTTGCGCTTTGTTCTTTTCCGTTTCTCTGCTGCAGATTTGGGCTTCCAGCTGACAGAGTGTGGATTAGCGTATATGAGGATGATGATGAAGCTTTCAAGATATGGCATGAAGAGGTAGGTGGTGTTCTTGACCTCCTTGAACCCTAGCTGTTTTATACTGCAGTTTTCTTCGAGTTCGATGATGACAGAAATTCACTTCAGGTGGGTGTTCCTGTTGAGAGAATAAAAAGGATGGGTGAAGAAGACAACTTTTGGACCAGTGGAGCTACAGGTCCTTGTGGACCATGTTCTGAGCTTTACTACGATTTCCATCCCGAAAGAGGTGTCGATGAAGCGGTATGATTGGCTTTCTGTACTCCTGGAAACCTGAAGCTTTTTTCACTCCTTACCTGCTAAGGATGTGGGTTATTACTGGAACTTCAAGTTGGATAAGGTGAACTTTCATGCTCATGGTTTTTCTTTCAATTGGATGATTGACTGGCAGGATCTCGAGGACGACAGTAGGTTCTTAGAGTTCTACAATCTAGTGTTCATGCAGTACAACAGAAAGGATGATGGATCACTTGAACCTTTGAAGCAGCAAAACATAGATACTGGACTTGGTCTAGAGCGGTTAGCTCGCATACTCCAAAAGGTATCCTTCAGAATTCCATTAGGAAAAGCTGATGCTAAAGCTTAATCTTCCCTAAAACAGAAAGCATTCCAAATGCAGAATCTTGAGAACTTTGATATGTATTTTGAGTTCTTTCTTCAATGGATGTTCTCTCTTGCAGGTTCCCAACAATTATGAGACTGATTTGGTCTATCCAATCATCCAAAAGGCCTCAGAATTGGCAGCTGTTTCGTACCATGATGCAGACGATAAGAAGAAAATGCAACTTAAAGTATGTTGGGAATTTAGTTGATTCCTAAATATTTGTTTCTTCAAGTTTGCTTCCACTGTAATGCCTCCACACTTAAATCTCTTTGTCATGTCTGCAGATCATAGGAGATCATACACGTGCAATCGTGTACCTATTATCAGATGGAGTTCTTCCTTCAAATGTTGGCAGGGGCTATGTCGTTCGACAACTTATACGAAGGGCAGTTCGAACTGGATGGTTACTTGGTATAAAGGGGAATTGTAAAGGTAACATCGAAGGAGCATTCTTACCAGCCATTGCTCAAACAGTTATAGAAATGAGCACTGCTATTGATCCTGAAGTGAAGGCGAGAGCATCTCGTATTATTGGCGAGCTGCAAAGGGAAGAGCTTCGTTTTGTACAGACTCTAGAGAGAGGAGAGAAGTTGCTTGAACTAAAGTTAGCAGAAGCACTATCATGTGCCAAACAAAGTGAAAGATCCCCCTGCTTGTTGGGAAATGACGTGTTTCTCCTATATGCCACATATGGATATCCAGTTGAGATCACAACTGAAGTTGCTATAGAAAAAGGGGTAGAGATAGACAGGGAAGGTTTCGATATTGAGATGGAGGAGCACAGGCGTCAATCTCAGGCGAATCACAACATTGTTAAACTTGGTGTTGAAAATGGTGGGGATCTTGCTGAAAAGGTTGCTGATACAGAATTTTTGGGATATGATACCCTTTCAACGAAGGCAATGGTCCAAAGCCTATTCGTAAATGGGAAACCAATGTTGCAGGTTTCTGAAGGAAATGAAGTAGAAATCTTGCTGGACAAGACACCGTTTTATGCCGAGTCAGGTGGTCAAATCGGAGATCAGGGCTCTCTCTATGTTACGGGAGACCAAAGAGAATGGACAGCAGTTGTGCAGATCCAAGATGTTAAAAAATCTCTCGGCAGTGTGTTTGTTCACAAGGGCACCATTAAAGAAGGAATCTTGGAGGTTGGCAAAGAAGTGGAAGCCACTGTAGATCCAAAGTTGAGGCAGCGAGCTAAGGTCTGTGTTGGTTATGTTCTTTCCTTACAATTTGCAGACATTAAATGCATTCCTAATAAAGACTGAACTGAGCACAACCATTCTAAAGGTGATGAAGTTTAATTGTAGTTATCTGCTGAAAAATGTATTAATTTTACAGGTTCACCATACTGCCACTCACTTGCTACAATCTGCACTCAAGAAGGTCATTGGGGAGGAGACATCACAAGCTGGTTCACTGGTGGCTTTTGATCGTCTCCGTTTTGATTTCAACTTTCACCGGCCACTGGTCGATGGTGAGCTGGACGAAATCGAAAGATTGATAAACGGATGGATTGGTGATGCAATACTACTTCAAACTAAGGTCTTGCCTATGACTGATGCTAAAAAGGCAGGGGCCATTGCCATGTTTGGAGAAAAATACGGAGAGGAGGTAAAGCTTTTCATCACGTTAGAAGTCTGAGAATTGCTACGTGCTTTACATATCACATAAGCCATTCGTGAACCTTCATTTTGCATTCTGAACTTCAAGTTTTCAATTCTGCTGTTAATGTGTTGTAGGTGCGTGTTGTGGAGGTTCCTGGTGTATCAATGGAACTTTGTGGTGGAACCCATGTCAACTGTACTTCTGAAATTCGTGCATTCAAGATAGTATCAGAGCAAGGGATTGCATCTGGAATCAGGCGAATCGAGGCTGTTGCAGGTGAAGCATACATCGAGTATACTAATGGACGAGATTCCCAATTGAGACGACTCGGTTCCACTCTCAATGTAAGTTTTGCCACCTATTCAACATAAAAACCATCCATTGATGCTTCATATAGCTGCAAGTCCCAATGTCCCATTTGGACAAGACTTGGTTCTCAAATAGCTGGAATGTTACTCTTCAGAAAAGTTTAGTTGAAATGAAGTAATCTGCTTCATATTTAGGGGATATAAACTGATTTAGTGGTGAAGTAACTCTGAGTAATCTGCTTCATATTCATGGTGTCTTTTGAAGGTGAAAACGGATGAGGTTACAACGAGGGTAGGTAACTTGTTAAAGGAGCTACAAGCAGCAAGAAATGAAGTATCAGCATTGCGTGCAAAAGCTGCAGTGTATCAAGCATCCGTAATTTCCAGCAAGGTGGTCTCTATAGAAGCTTCAACTCCAATTAGGTAAGCAAGTTTCAATCACGATACCGCGGAACTGTATACCAGTTCAGTAGAGAAATGCTAATCTCTGTATCTATTATATCAGGGTTCTAGTCGAGAACATGGACGATGTGGATGCAGCCTCGCTCAAAGTTGCAGCGGAGTATTTAGTGGAAAAGCTGCAAGATCCAGCAGCTGTTGTACTGGGGTCTGCTCCGGATGAAGGGAAGGTGAGCCTAGTGGCAGCATTCTCTCCAGGAGTTGTCAAATTGGGAGTTCAGGCAGGGAAGTTCATAGGGCCTATGGCAAAACTATGTGGTGGAGGAGGAGGTGGACGGCCTAACTTTGCTCAGGCTGGAGGGAGGAAGCCCGAGAATCTGTCGAGTGCACTGGAGAAAGCTCGAACAGATCTTCTATCAGTTCTTACAGAAAAGTCAGGTCAATAATTTAACTTGTTCAGCTGCAGTTCCAACTTCCAACCATGGTTGTGCTGGTAAAGATCTCTGTGATTTTCTTCATTTTCTACATGCATTATTGATACAGGAAGATGGAAGATTAATGCTAAACCATCTAGACAGAATCAATAAGATGGGCTGTCAAAGCTGCTGTGTGTTTCAATAGAATGAAACATAGTTGATTCAGGTAGAAATTCTAGTACTGTTTTTTTGTACATAATATTATGAATACATATCTGAATACACTGAACAATCTTCACAAGGTGTAGTGGGCTGTATCTTATTCATTCCTTTTGACATATTTTCCTTCACATGGCCTGATTCAGCCTAGGATCTCCTGCAAATCTCTCAAGAGTACCTCTACTTTCTGTAAAATGAAATGATTTGTATGCACTATTAGATCTTTTAGAAGGTGAAACGAAATGTCGTGTTCGAAAGATATATTGGTGAAATAGTAAATTCGAATATGTGTCCTCACTCGACTAAGTCAGGACGAATTTTTTTTTAACTAAAGGCAAAAAAGAAGTGGCAGTTTGGTATGGTGGAGATCCAATGGATGATGTGGTTTTCACTTTTCAGTGTACTAGGTAAGTAGAATGTGCTTTAGAAAGGAAGGCCAACTGAGAGTTTACTACTCCTTGAAGAAAAAGGCAGTGGTATGGTAGGTTTAGGATGGCAAAGTGGTGGAAATGGAAGACAGAAGGACTTCCATTTAAATTATAGACTGCCTAATAAAACCAAAGGTAGTAGAATTAACACTGACAACCATACAAAACATACTACTTTTGTATCTACTTTGCTATATCACGTTTTAATCAGAGGCAGACGTTAACGTGAACCGACATTACTTATGTATTATTATATTCACGATCTCTATTATAGAATTCAGATGTGCGCCTATAACAAATAAAGATGTCACCGCATATATTCAACAGTGACTCAAAATGTTAGTCATATAATTTGTCGGTATCCGTTTGTGTTGACGCCTACCCTTATCAGCCTATACGAGAAAATTGAGGGGTGGGGGGACAAATGACAATGCTTGCTGGAACCAAACGTTGTCGTTTTGTTCTTGCTTCTTTGTTCTTCTTTTTTCAACCCTTACCCACTTAGGTTTTGTCACAAATCTACTTCTGGCAGTCTAGAGGGGACCATTAATAATCAAATATAGCATCTAATTATTGGGGTTGCTAGCTCTTTGTATTGTTATTATCCACAATTAATCGGTGGCTCTAGTTAATTAGTAGCCATCTTAATCACATCTTTTTAACTAACTAAAATCATTATTGTTATTATTGGACTCTTCAACCACTCCATCCTCCAGCTACCGGTTCACTGTACTCCAAATCTAAAACAAAGCTTTTGGGATGATTTATTTAACAACAATGTTCTGTCAATTAATTATATTATTATTATTATTGAGCTCAATCAACGATTTTTTTATATATTCATATGGATTCGCTTACAATTTCATCCATCAGTCGATGCAAATGTTAAAATTATTATTGTTATTGTTATATTATAATAGTGCATGTTCTAAATTTCAAGATTCTTTCCACTCCGATACACAGTGGCGTAGTTATGATTTTATTCAATGGGGTGCCATAAAAAATTACATATGTGGTCTCGTGTTTTATATTGTAAAATTATTCTATTACCATATGAATTGGCCAAACTATCAAGATTTCACACTTAATATAACCCACTGAATTACCATTCACAAGCTAGTTCACTAGATGCAAAGGCTGATCAATCGTTTCATAGCATAAAATGTTATCAACTTGGGCATTGACAGATGATAGTAACAAATCAAATCTATTTTCACAAGCAAATACATTGATATGAACTAATTTTCATGTAGAAATTAGTAGATGAAATTAATTTATTAGTTTGTTGTGATTTGACGGTAGAATATTTGACGATTGACATTGAAATTTAGGATTTAAATATCATCATTAACTAACTAATACTACTAATATTTTTTGCTTTTTCCAAATCTAAGGAGGTGCCATGGCAACCCCCCCCCCCTTATTATACTCTTGCTACTCCCCTGCCGGTACATATATAAAATTCTCGTCTTGGATAGTAACATAGTGTGAAGCTACGTGTAGTTTAGAAAGTGCCTTCTCTCGAATTTTTTATTATCTAATGTTCGTTCGTACTTATAGAATAGGGGCATGAATAGTTTGCTATTAGTTAAGCATATGATCCTCCTTCTCATTCTAGAACTCGAATTTTACTACTAATTATTTTCACGATGGAACAATCAAAACACGAGGATTGTTATCATCATCTATTTGTGGGAACGGACTGTGTACAGCTGCGGATGTGGGTTTTGACTAGCAAGATATACAGGAAGATCGGCATCCAGTGTACAAACAGCCAGGCACAATTCCAGCTCACTGTGACAAAAGATATGGGCGATTCTGTTATGGCTATTACGTGGGAAAATGACACCATTGGCTGCCATGCAAATGGGCTATAAGAGAAAGAATGACCGACCTGTGTGTGTCCCTTGTTATGTGCAGATATGAATATGATCTGTAGTCAGCTAGATTATTAGATAAGAGAGAAAGGGGAAGCAAGGAAAGCGTGAACAAAGAGAGAAAGGGAAACAAGGAAGGAAGGTAGTAGAAAGAAGTGAGGGACTTTGGAAGTCCAACATCTTCTCATTCATGAATCATAAATCTACTACCTGTGTACGCGGTTCGGAGAAAACCTCATTTGCGTTCGGATAGTCGAATGTAAAAGTTCTTGATATAGTCGAGGTCGAATCGCGGTTCAGACGACCTGGCCTCGTCGAAGCGCGAGGGGGAAATGTTAGTTTTTGAACCTCCGTTTATTTCTATAGGTCTCGCTGAAGTGAAATTGTTATTGGTATCGAGCTTATACAAAGGAAATCAAAAAAAAAAAATTACAGTGAAATTATTTTTAAGAGCGGACATTTTTATCGCTCAAACCGAGGTTCGATTGATGTAAAAACTAGAAAGTCATGATTGATGTCAAAAGTTTTTATGAAAATACATGTTTGAATATTATACTTATATATGTTATAAACCTAACTTGAATGATCATGTTTGTAAGTACCGAGATGAAATCTAATCTCACATTGGTAAAGACTAAAGAGTAAAGACTGAAAAAAAAAACGGTACAATCAAGATTCTCTGCCATGAACAAAAGTCGATCCACGAATTCTAGTGCCCCAAACCCAAAAAAAAAAACTAATGTTAAAGCTTACCGACTTAGTCACCCCAAGAACAATAAAGTAAAGTGGAGAGTGAGTGAGTGAGTGTAAGTGCCGACGTATTTACGCGTGGTGGAATTATGGGCTGCCTGGTGGCTGCCTCTCACTCTGTTTTCTGCTCTCTGTTTTCTCACTCGGCAAAACAGAGTCGGTGAGAAAGTGCTGTTGGAGGCTCTGCTCTGCTCTTTCTCTCCACTCACCACAACCACTTTCCTCGATTCCTCTTTACATTCTCTCGCCGCGTTTGTGTCACATTCTTGTCGGTTTCACTTTCAATTGTTTATTGTGATTAACTAAATTATATATTCAAGCCTTTTTAAGTTCATGGATTAATGGAATGAAACTATTCTTGACGTGGTATTAGAGTTGCTTTGGTTAAAATGGATTCGTATATGATGGACAGATTAGTCATGGGTTTTGAAAGATTAGTAATGGGTCGTGACTGATAAGGTGATTAATTGATGAAATGAGTTGTAAATGATAATTTTTCGGGGAGTATGTTACGTTGATGATGGGTGGGATTGATAAACGTAAGAACTTATGCGTAAAAAAGGTGAATATTTTGATAAATTTATGGGATAAACATAATCTACGATATTGAAGTATCTAGATCAATTTTTTTTTGAAAAAGTGTTAGAATCTGGTAACTATCTTTAATTGTATTATATAAAGCCTAGCGATCGACTAATAGTTTCCATAGGCTGATGGATTCTAGCAAACGATTAGAGGTAAATAGTAAATGAATGTAAAACTGCGGGTATGCAAGAAAGTTTCTTTCTTGATAACTTCGTGAAGTCTCTTCCTCCCTTCCTCCTGTACCTGCCCCTCCCCGCCAGCCCCCGAGTTCTCTCCTCCCCTCCTGGGCCCCTCCTCCTGACGGTTTTCTGAAGATCAATTTTGATGCTGCGGTTCGTGGTTCCGGTTGTTCCTCTGGTCTAGTAGTTCGTGGAGCAGACGGGCATGTAGCTTTGGCGGTAGGGCTTCAGCACCCTGGCATTGCTGACCCCTACCTCGCGGAACTTCTTGCTGCCAGGGATGTCGTCTCCCTGTTGGTATCCAAGGCTCTCCCGCGTGTCATCATCGAGGGTGATTCAGAAGTGGTGATTCGTCAGCTTCGTCAGAGTGTTTCTTCTGATTCCCTAGGAGGACCGGTGCTTCGAGATTGCTTCCTTTCTTCTGGCTCTGTCTCTGTAGAGTTTAGGGCAGTTCCTCGGACTGCTAACAGGGTTGCCCATAGAGTGGCGCAGAAAGCCCTGCTTCTTTCTCCTCTCGAGTTATGTTTTTTTCGATTTTGTTGGGTGGCTTCTTTGATGTAATAGGTTGGGAGATTTTCGGGTAGACTGTATAGCTCTTTCTATTGACATTTCTTGGGGAAAAAAACTTAATCTATAAACCATTTTTTACAGTTTTTCCATGACAATGGGATAAAATGTTATGTTTGGAATTCAGTAAGTCTTGTGCTATTGGCTATTGCTATGGTGAATTCGTGTGGATTTCAACATTTTATTCAATGAAGGTCCTCTCATTCGAAAGACCAATAGAAAAGGGGTAAAGTGAGATTTTTAATTTGCTCTTATCTCAAGAGAAAGATCAACTGTTATACAATAATACAAACCACAAAAGTGATTGATCTTTTCCCATTATTTTGCTTTCCTGAAATCAATGCTTCACATCTCTCTGTCTCTCTCTAACCCCCCACCCTGCCAACTTTCTCTCTCTATCCAGCTCATTCCCTTACGTGTTGTCATCTTCTTCCCTATATAAACCAAATTCCTCTGCCTTCCATTTACCTTCATCACAACTTGACTTCTCCTCTCAGCCTTTGAAAGAAATCCTCCCACAGCAAAAGAACAGAAATCCAAACATGTCGCCGTTGTCATTACTCCCCTTTCTGCTGATCTCGCTTGTCTCCTCCGCAACCGCCTGCGACCGCTGCCTCCACTCGACCAAAGTCGCCTACTTCTCCAAGGCATCCGCGCTTTCCAGTAAATCCCCTGTTTTTGCTTCCTCCCTCCCCTGTTTTTTCTTCTTCGCTTCTTTTCAATCCCGTTCTTCCCTTTTCCTTGATCAAAATGAAGTTTTGAACGAGACCCTGTTGATTTTTTGCGGAGATAAATGATGGGTATTGATTTTTATCTCGTTTCCCGCAGATGGTGCTTGTGGGTATGGTTCCATGGCGATCGGGTTCAACACCGGACAGCTCGCCGCTGCTGCCCCTTCCATCTACAAAAATGGAGCTGGTTGCGGCGCCTGTTTCCAGGTACAAATTATAATCTCCCTAAACTCAAAAAAGCTTCCTCCTCGTCACGTTACCACACTAGTCCAATTGTAACTGTCACATATTAAATTGGCTGTTACGTTTTTTGGGCTCCTTTCTTGAAACAGATTAGATGCAAGAAACCAGGGCTATGCAGCAGCAGGGGAACCACAGTCATGGTGACCGACCTCAACACCAGCAACACCACCGATTTCGTCCTCAGCAGCAGAGCTTTCATGGCCATGGCCAGCGAAGGCAAAGCCTCCGACGTTCTCAAGCTCGGGATCGCCGACGTCGAATACAAAAGGTATATAGTCAAAATTACCATATAATAATATGCAAATCAGTCCATTAACTGGTCCTGACAATGGTATCACATATTAGAATTAAAAAACGAGACCATTTTTCAGTATATTATAATATAGCAGACAGGAAACCGGTTCGAGCCAGAAACCACCATTAAATGCCCAATAACGGTCAAATTGAAAGAAAAATTCTCTCTTTGCTCTTGTTGTTGCAGGGTGCCATGTGAGTTCAAGACCAAGAATTTAGCGGTGAGGGTGGAGGAGTCGAGCCAGAAGCCGCATTACTTGGCGGTCAAGGTGCTGTACCAGGGCGGTCAGACCGAGATCGTCGGGATGGACGTGGCTCGACTCGGTTCGTCGAACTGGGCCTTCCTGAGCCGGAACCACGGGGCGGTCTGGGACACGAGCCGGGTACCCGAGGGCCCACTGCAGTTCAGGTTCGTGGTGACGGGCGGGTTCGACGGGAAGTGGGTTTGGGCCCAGAAGGCCGTGCTGCCGGGAGACTGGAAGGCCGGGATGGTTTACGATACTGGGCTTCAGATTACTGATATAGCCCAGGAGCCTTGCTCGCCTTGTGATGATTCCACCTGGAAATGAAGCTGAAAAGGGGAAAATAAGTGGAGATGTTATTTTATAGAATAACAATGTTGCATTTTTCTCTATTTTTCACGCAAAAAGCAAGAGAAGTTGTGAATATTACGGTTAATAAAATGGTTAAAAAGTTTAGGTTCCATATTTTTGTACTTTTATTATGTAGCTGAAATCAATAATTAATGGATTTTTGGAAAGATCTCTTCATATATATGACTGCAGTTCATTTTGCATTTTTGGGCCGAGAAAGCTGGTTTTGGGAAACGGAAGCCTCGAAATGTTTGGATAATAATGGGCCTTGTATTGCTGAACTTGTGGGCTTCAGAGGGTGTTGACATTACTGCAGTGGTGGCATTCAATAGGATTTGCGTATGGGCCGTGACTTGTCTTCACATTGATGCCATACCGTTTCTTTCGTTTGGACCAGACTGCCCTGTAAGCCCACAGAAGAGGCCCAATAGAGGAAGAAGTGTTTTGGAGGGAAGAAGAGAGTAGGGAACCCTTGTGGAAAGGGTAGTTGGCCGTTTGTTTGTTTGGTTGTTTGTTTGTTTTTTTTTTTTGTCGTTTGTCTTTTTAACCACGAGAATATCACTCTGTAACCAGTTATTTATCTCTGATGATTAGTCATCGATTTCACATTATGTGAGAGCTATGGCGGTAAGTGAGAGGTTGGTTTGAAAAATTCATACCTTATATCACTATTTACTAAGATAATTAGACGTTAAAAATTGTATCGACGTGTAGAAGAAAAAGTTTAACACTATTCAAATTGAGGCACACACTCATTTAGAGAGCACAATACAAAAGGGAGTTGCAGGAGGATGCTTATCCATTTTTGGATTAACTTTTTTTAAGAAAATCGTCAATCGAAACTCTTATTATAACTTTAGATCTACATGTTTATCATTATTGGCGTTTAAAAAATATTTCATCCAAATGTACTAACTTTATTTATTTTTACTAGATTAACCATCTCTTTTCCCATCAACTGAAATCGGTCTTGTTTTTCTTCTCGTCGCCTAAACTCAACTAAATCGATCCTCTCTCTCCTTCTATTGTCCAAACAACCATTAGTACGTAATGTAATTTTTTTAACTACCCAAAACCCCATTGCTAATAAAGAGAAGTTGCAGACTGATCAACACCGATATCTGAAAATCCAACCGTAATAAGATAGCCTGCCAAGAAATCGTTTCGAGCACATAATTGGCAACAAAAAGAAAAGTTTCTGACGATCGACTTGGGAAATCCCAACTAAATCAGGATTTGGGACAGCTGCTAAGCCAAGCGTCAAGCCTCCATTGGCTGCTGATCATTGCGATCGCCGCCTGTGGGCAAATGTGGCCATGCGTGCAAGCAAAGGCGAACCCCTGTAGCTTATTCACTAGCTAGCTAGCTGCTTTTCCTTTCCTTTCCAGTTTTCAGCTTATGGGGATATGGACAAAAACCTCTTCTTCCTTTCGTTTCCTGACACTTCCTTTCCACTTTTCTGGATCATCACTCAGGTCAAGTTAAAGGTATGACGTGATGGTGGTTTATCGATCTAGTCAGTCACCTTGATCATAATATAAAGGGTTGGATGTTTTTTTTTTATGTTCGTTGTTGTTATGTGAATGACGATATAAAGGTCTATATTATATCTTTAAAATACCCATTCGTTATTCAGTATCGTATTACAGTTAGGGCTGCAAATAGGGCTGCAAATGAGCCGAGCTGCTCGCGAGCGACTCGGCGTTCGACTCGAGAAAAGCTCGTTCGAAACTCGGCTCGTTAATAAATGAGCCGAACACGAGCTCACATTTGTTCAGCTTGTGAAGCTCGCAAGCTAGCTCGACTCGGTGGCATGTTGAGCTAAACTCGTGAGCTGGCTCGTTTAGAGCTCATGATATGTCTTAACATGTGGCTAGAGAGCCAACTCGATTACCAACTTATGGACGAATCAATCTATATCTTATGATTTTAATTTATATGGTTGTTAAGTTGTATATCTCACCATATATAAAGTTTTGCACGTTGAGTATGTGAGCAAATATATCTTATTTCCTACTTTAAAAAGAAATTATGCATCATAGATTGCTTCGATACAATGAAATCACATGATTTGGAGTAGTTAAAATTTATTAACTAAACGATATATGATACCCACAAAGTATAAAGTATAAGATGAGATTAACTAACAAAATAAATCATATATGTATCATGATATACAAAACGAAGTACCAAATAAAAGTTAAGATTTTAATAAACAAGCTAGCTCGAACTCGACTCGACTCGGCTCGTTAATAAGCGAGTCGAGTTCGAGCTCAGCTCGTTTATTAACGAGCCGAGTCGAGTTCGAGCTAGTTTGTTTATTAAAATCTTGACTTTTATTTGGTACTTCATTTTGTATATCATGATACATATATGATTTATTTTGTTAGCTAATCTCATATTATACTTTGTTGGTATCATATATCATTTAGTTAATAAATCTTAACTACTTCAAATCATGTTATTTCATAGTATCGAAGCAATCTATGATGCATAATTTCTTTTTAAAGTAGAAAATAAGATATATTTGATCACATACTCAACGTGTTAAACTTTATATATGGTGATATATATAATTTAACAACCATATGAATTAAAATCATAAGATATAGATTGATTCGTCCATAAGTTGGTAATCGAGTTGGCTCTCTAGCCACATGTAAAGACATATCATGAGCTCTAAACGAGCCAACTCACGAGTTTAGCTCCACAAGCCACCGAGTCGAGCTAGCTCGCGAGCTTCAGGAGCTGAACAAAGGTTAGCTAGTGTTCGACTCGTTTATTAACGAGTCGAGTTTCGAACGAGCTTTTCTCGAGTCGAACGTCGAGCCGCTCGCGAGCAGCTCGGCTCATTTGCAGCCCTAATTACAGTCCTTAATATATACTTGTATTCGAATCATCTTCGGGTTTTACTAAAGAGGAATATTACTAACTAGTAGTTTAGTTAGAAAGTATGTAATTAGCGTTATCACACCAAGAGTTTTGTAAAGTGGTTAATATATATTTAATGCAATGTCCACACTCCACAGACATGAACAAACTGACGATGATAGGCTAACAGAAGGAAAATGAACCTACCTGTCGTGCGTTTATTTCTCTGTTGGCTAGTCTATTAATAATGAATGAGTTGACGGCGGCCATTCATTTCGGAATCTTAAATTCTCAAAGAATTATTGCATACATAGCAAAACGGTATCTAAGTGGGATCACTCACTACCCGTGAGAGACTCAAGATTGATACATATATGCTCGCGCAAAGTCGGAACATCTTACTGAAACTCGATCGTTGAACGTAATCGAAGTTTCATATCAATGCGACATCTCGATCGCGAGAGATGGTCAAGTAGTGAACGCACTTTCTTCTCCAACTTCCAAATTTGTTAACGATGTTACGACTCGCGAGAACCGTCGAAAATGACCGAGGCATGCAATGTCATAGAGATGCGCATTACAATTTGGTGATAAGACGACAGGATTAGGTGCTAATTAATAACGTGATGTAATGGAGGGAGAGATGAGACGGCGCAATGATTATCGACACAGCTAGCACCGGCGCTGTACTCTACTTTCGAGTAAAGAAATAAGATGTGGTACTGGTGGAAGAAAGAGAAAGAGATGGATGTGAATCAATATAATGAAGTGATGTGCAAATAGGGTGAACACACCTGCAAACCGACCCATCTGTCGAACCCGATTCAACCCATTCGTATTTAAAATTGAAGTCAGGGGGTAAAGTAGTCGGAAAGAGCTTAGTCTCCTCGCCAATGCTCATGGTTCAAGCCAGCCCCTGATTTAAATTCTTGACTTCGTTAGAAGAGTCAGGAGAGGCAAGTGTGAAATTTTCCTAGTTCCTAGTTCTTGCTGATACAACTAAATCAATAGTTCGTCGACGTGTGAAGTCTTCGTTTGAGAAGTACATAAAATATTGTTGTTCACCGGTAACGTGTTCATACATATTTTTACGCATGCAGCATGGTACCGACAAGAGCTAATAAATTTTAGCATGCTCTAGCTAATTAAATAGTTGTTTAGCAGTTTATTAAATCCCGGGGGCCCGGTTGCTTGTTGGTACAGACAAAATAGACGGACCAAAAAGGCCCAGAACCCAGCTAATGGCTTACGGGCTACGGCGGCCCAACCCTAGATTCCAAATAAATTGGGCTGAATAAAAAATTCTCCATTATTATGGTATCTTTTTTCTTTTGTAGAATATTATGGTATCTTTGAATTGAGAGTTTAATTAGAGGTGACATTAGGGGCAGAAAGAGAGGCCTTGTCGTTATTAATACTCGTTTCCAGATGAAGAAAGGAAGAGCATAGAAATCCATCTTACATCTCCCTCCCAGCAGCCTTCCATTTTTGGTGATTTTGCCATCTTGCAAAAAATGTGAAAAGAATAATGAATGCTAACCACCCCATGTTATCATAAATGGCAATTTTCATGGAGGGAACAAAAATGGGCCTAGGAAATTTAAAGAGGATGATAATGGTAGAGAGAGATTCGGATGGAGTAGAGTTCTAAACTTCTAATGTTTGTCCGATACTACCGATTCCATGGTTATTGTCTCGTTATTGGTTCAGACGTTGATGATACAGAGAGATACAGATTGAGAACGTTCGGTTGGTCATATACTTCTCGTTTGGTTAAGGTACTTATAAGGCCCGTACGAAGAAAAGCCAAGCCCACAATCGATTTTGTATATTGATCCATCTTTTCCTCAACCGCCGAAGAAAAGCCAAGCCCACAATCGTTCCGATGATGATGTCCGCACCACATCAAAACCCCTTCTGTCATTACATAAATAAATCCAGGAAAGAAAAAGACACAGAAAAGAAGAAAACAAAAGGCAGTACAGCAGAATATTTTAATTGTTTATTCTTTTATTAATCGTATAATAAATAAATAAATAAATGGGGGCAGTCAGCCAGTCACAGGCAGCAACACAAAACCTTGATGCCCTCCGTCCCTCATCTCCCGCCACGTGTAAGAATCGACGGATGGGGATCCATCCTTTCCCTCCAAAAATTTCTCTGCCTCTTGCCTTTTTTGTCTCACTCCACTCCGGCACTCCGTCGCCATGAAAACTTATCCTTCTCTCTTTCATTCTCATTCGTTCGTATTCTTCTCAGTATAGCGCTCTGTTCGGCCAGACTATAAATAGAGCGAGCCAGTGCTTTGTTGAAGCAGTCACTGTGTCACGCTCGCTCACTCACTCACTATTCTTCTGCTCCCTCCTCCTCCTGCTCTCACTCCTACCCAACCACGCGCTCACATAAACAACATATATAATCAACATATAATAATTAAGTGGAAGAATAGAAAACGATTTCATCCTTCCTCGGAAAGAATGAACATGGAAGAATCGGCGGCTTTGGCGGCGGCGGGGAGTGACAGCAGTGGTAATAATGGGGTGGTGAAATCGCGGTTCAAGAGGGTCTGTGTTTTCTGCGGGAGCAGTGTTGGGAAGAGAAACTGCTACAAGGATGCCGCCATTGATCTTGCTGAGGAGCTGGTAATTAAAAAAAAAAATGAATTTCGTTCTGGGTTTTGTTTCTAGTTTTTTGTTTCTGGTTTTGAGAGTATTTCTGATTTTGGATTGTTGGATGAAGGTGGCGAGGAGGTTGGATCTCGTCTATGGCGGCGGGAGTATTGGGCTGATGGGGTTGGTTTCTCAAGCTGTGCACCGCGGTGGAGGCAATGTTCTCGGGTAATGGGGTTGTTTATGCTCGTTTTTTCTTCGTCCATAAGGTGTTTGTGGTTTGGTCTCTGAGAAAAACATTGTGGGCGATTCTTTTCTGACGGTGGTGGTTTTTGTGGTGTGACAGGATCATACCCAGGACCTTGATGTGCAAGGAGGTGAGATTTTCCGTTTGGGATTTGGGTTCTGAGTTGTAAAAAAAAAAAAAGAAACCTTTTTCATGTGGTTTTCTTAGCTTGGAGTTTTGATTTTTGGTTCCTTTTGATCCAATGGTGGAGCCACAGATCACTGGTGAAACAGTTGGAGAGGTGAGGCCAGTAGCCGACATGCATCAAAGGAAAGCAGAAATGGCCCGCCAATCTGATTGTTTCATCGCCCTACCAGGTCCTCCCTCGTTCATTGTTATTTCCCCCCCTTCACTGTTCTCTTCAGCTGATTATATGCACAAAATGTCCCCCCTTTTTGTTCCCGTTTGTAATCAATGGCGGCCTCCTTCTTTGTTCTTTGGCATCATGATAATCAGGTGGGTACGGGACCCTGGAAGAGGTGCTGGAAGTAATCACTTGGGCTCAGCTTGGGATCCATGACAAGCCGGTAAAGCTTTCACCTTTTCCCTTGTCTCCAACTCTCTTTCAATATTAATCTGTTTTCTTTTTGGTTTTTGTACCTAAACAAAGATTGGTAATTTGTGGCTGCAGGTGGGTTTGCTAAATGTGGATGGCTACTACGACAACCTCCTTACCTTCATTGACAAAGCTGTGGACGATGGCTTCATCCAGCCATTTCAGAGGAACATATTTGTCTCAGCTCCTAATGCCAAGGAGCTAGTTCAGAAGCTTGAGGTGAGAAAATTGAATGACGTATAATTATTATGCAACACATATATGGAAAAGACAGTATGGGTGTTTCAATAAAGGATCATCATCAAATTTCCATCTTGGTGATGGATCATCCTTTTCGATACTTTGTTCATTTTATTAGCATGTGGGAGTTGTTTAGTTACCCCTGTTGATGATAACACTGTTTTCTTTTTTCTCTCTCGAGTAGGAGTACGTGCCAGTGAAAGATGGAGTCATTGCCAAGGAAAGGTGGGAAGTTGAGCTGCAGCAGCAACCACCACAACAGCAACAACAGGTGGGGTTCAATGCTACTTCTACTACTGCTACTACCATCACTACTACCACTTTGCAGCAGACTGAGATAGCTCTATGAATGCAAAAGGAAGGGCAGGTTTAGGGGGGACGGAATTAATGGATGGAAAGAAATGAATAGTTAGGGGGAAAGGTGGGGGTTAGGCCCTTTTCTCTTTTGCTTTCTAGTCTGATTTTGGGGTCAGAGTTGAGACCACCCATTATGGGTATGGTGGTGTGGTTTGAACTTTTGATTGAATGACTTGGCTAAAAGAAAAAGTGGAGACTTTCTGTTTTTTTTCTCTTATTCATTTTAGTACATGTACTGGCTAATGATGGAAGAATAGGAATATGGTTAACCACAATGATCCAAGGTTGACCTCAGATTAAGCTCTCTTTTGTAATTGGAAAGTTCCTTTTGGGTGGTATCAATATGTACAAAACATAAGTGTTTTATTGTCATTATTATAATATAGGATTCATGAAAAAGCCATAACCTAGAACTCCTTTGTCTTTTGCCTTTATTTTTTTTGTTTCTGCTGTAGTGCCAGGAACCGTTATTTGATTGGTGCAAAGCTTGGAGAGAACATTAGTGGTAAATAATTAGAAGCTACTAGTGGTGAGAACGAGGCATTGGTCATTTTACCTCTTTGGTGAATGTATGACAGAAAGGGCAGCCTGGTTTTGTTTTTGGGATGATATTTTGATCAGCCTGCCTGGTAGTGTACTGTTACAGCTCATTTGCAGGGACAATGGCCAAGGCCATGGCAGGTCTTTTTTGTTGTGAGTTTGAACTTTGAACTGTAGCTGGCCTGGGGCAGATTACCCCTTGAGGCTGTTTTGTATTTGTGCTTTCCCTGTTAAAAGCACTGTACATAGTGCAGAGAGAGAAGAGGAGGAGAGGAGAGGAGAGAGAGAGAGAATGAATGATGAAATTGAATGGTCTGGTGACAAAAGAGAGAAAAGGGAGGGGCTGGGTGACTCATCATGGTGATGACCTTACCTAACACACAAAGAGAGAGAAAATCAAGCTTGGTGTTTTTTTCAGAATTTGCCATACTTGAAGGGTTACTTGTCCATCATCACACACCTCCACTATGGATCTTCATCTTCCACCACTGAGCTTCTTCTGGGCCTCTCTTCCCTCCATTTGGGAAATATTGATAATGGGGTTGGGTGCCCCTATACTTGGAAGTTGGAGACCAGATAATGCATGTCTATCCCTAATTTGCTGGAAGTTGTATGTAGGGTATGTTGATACTAGTATATATTATCCATCCAAGGTGGAAATCAAAATGTGGTAGATTCTCCTTGGTCTAAATCAGCTGTGCAAAACTCCTAACTAGGGTTGGGGATGTGAATTGTTTGCTAGCATTACTCCGAGTTTCTTTTCAAGCCAACTCCATTGATCAGGCCGTTACAATTTGTATGCACTAACAGATCGATCGGTAAATTATTAATTGATATAGAATGGTCACACCTCTGTATCATCATCATCTGCTTTCTCACACAAAATATCTAGATGAGCATGTCAGTTCGTCTAAATTGTTAACAAAAGATCACACACAATACACAAAGGGTGGTTGTTAGAGCGTTCTGAACAAAGTTGGACTGGGATTGGGTATGAGTTTGAGTGAAAATAGTTTGGCCATGTGGTCTACATATCGTTATTATTAATTTGGTTGAGTTGACACGTTAACGGGAACATCCCTACCATCTATGCAACTGGCCTTAGTCCTCCCTCATCATTCTATCTTCTTCCTCCAACATGTGATGACCCTTGGTCCAAGAACTACTATGCATGTAACTAAGAATGAACCCATGGAGGACCATGAAAGCCAAAAAGAACTACTATGCATGTAAGAACAAACCCATGGAGGGTTATGACTTATGAGAGAGCCAAAAGGGAAGCACCCAACTTGGGGCATGTTTTGCAGGAAGGAGTTTTGGGGCAATGTGACTTGTTCTTATCAACAACTAGCCATTTTGCTTTGCTGCTCCTATGCTAGATGTAAGAGTTTGAAAGCTCTCTCTCTCTCTCTCTCTCTCTCTCTCTCGTTCTCTCTCTAAGTTCTCATGGTCCCTTACCTTAGCCACAGATGGGACGATGGTTCCAGAGAAAATATGCAGTGCCTGCACTGTACAACTAGAAGCTGCACCACCCTTTTCTCTTCTCTTATGAAAAAGAGGGACCATTTTCTTTTTGGTGGGCATATAATGCTCTGTGTTAACCCCGCAAACAAAAGGGTTGGAACGTTGGGAACAATTGTCTTTAGGGCAAGAAAGAAACGTTTGTTTAATTGGCAAACAACCCCATTGTACGAGCCAAACTTCTTTTGGAAGTGGAGGTAATGGAATTCAGAACCCAAATTTGGTGAGCAATTGCACTATCATGTACATATTGTCTCCCCACCCCTCTCTAGCTCTTTGCCTTGAGAGGAGAAGTCCGAGTGAACTTCTGGTTGTGGGTTGTGCTGCCCTTTGATCTTTCTAAATTCACCATCACTTTCATTCGGGTCCACATGCATGTGATCATCGTGGTCTAGTTCGAATCGAAGTTGATTAGTCCGGGAAAGTTAAAAAAAAAAAAAAAACTTGATAGCGAAATATATTTGGTTGGGATGGGAAACAAGTTTTTGTGGAGAACTTTGTCTCTTGCCAACTTTTAAGTACAATCCTACGTTGGATGTCATCACCCAAGTAATTAGGATGCACATTCGAAGTTCGGACGGTCAGAAAATGCATGCAAATCACTATCGTTCTCACAGTTATTGTCGTGCGCTTCTGACATGAACATAACGGGTGATGTTCGATTCGATAACCGTAAATTGCAAATAAGACGCCCTAAACCCTAACCGGATCGATAGTAGCAATGGGAATGTGTAACTTGTTTTCAATGAGGGCAGAAGTCTGGATCATGTGATGTGAGAGTTGTTGCTAGCTAGTTATCCTTAGGAGAAGAAGTAAGGTTTTAGGCCTACTATTCTGCCATCACTTGAACGCTCTCATATTTCTCATCAACTTGTTCCTGACAATACGCCCTTCTTGCCTCTTTGCCCTCTGAAAAAATCTTTGCCCTCTGAAACGGTTGGACCCACCCAAACCATAACTAGCTAGCTGCTAGTGCTCGGTATGTCATTGGCGGTTGGGGATGAGATGTAAATACTGAAGTGACCGGTTTTAATATTTTGCTATAAGTAGAAACCCAGCCAAAACCGGGCTTTAATAAAAGCTCAACTCCGCGCAGGCCACCAAAATGAGTGGGCTTTTAGCCCAATAGTTTTCCGTTTGTGAAGCCCTAGAATCGGATGAGCTTTCCCAAATATTGCCTACCAAAAAAGAAATGAAATTAATTGATGTTCGCACAAAATAGCACAAAATACTATCTCGGTTGCAAAAAGGTATGATAACATATTAAATTTTAATTTATTATAATAACTCAAATTGTTGGGAGGTGTTCGATAATGTATCGTATACCATACATTAACAACATCTTGACGTTGTTTGTGAATAGATCAACATGCTTCATCCGCGAATTAACCATCCTCATTAGAGTTTCATCGCACTTGAAGCCTCGAGGGAACGAAACGCCAATGTATACAATGTATAGATAGATCAATTAACCTCCATTTTTTTCTTCTCCTTCCCAATGAACCAACTCGTAATGTATGTTAACCCGTTACCAGTATCCCGTGAAACCTTAACAGTCCAACCAAGAAAACTTCACATCAAAACCTAAATCGGCAGACAGTCCTCAACGATACGAAACGATCGAACCACGATTTCAATTTTACAACTCAAAACACATTTTTTTCGTTATCTTTTTTTTTTTCCCCCGACACAACCTCCGATACGATTTTACAATCCTTCCCCCACCCCACGCTCACCCCCATTGATTGGAATCAATAAAGCTAATTAGATATACTAGAGGTCAAGCTTGACTTAACAATGCTATAGGGGAGAAGAAATAAAACACCCCCTATCTCAAAAAATCAACTCTACCCTTAATCACGCTCGCTCTCCATTTACGTGGAGGGAAAGGGAATAGTGAATCCTAATTAAACAAGACAGGAACCCTAGCTAGCTGCAGCCAGCCAAAAAAACCAGCCATCTTCTCCGCCGTGGACTCTGAAAACTGGACGAGCAATAAATAAATAAACAAACACCAAACGTTCTCTCCCTTCCCTACTCAAATCTCCCTCTCCTCTCCCAACACAATGAAACTGAAGAGCCTGTTAAAGATCTTGGTCGTACTTATCATATACACGGGCATCACCATCGCCGTCTGGTTCGGCCTCGGAATCGCACGCGCCGTCGTTGTCCGGCACGGCGGCTTCTTTGTGGTGGACGTTGGCAAGTTGGAGCGGGCGAGGGATGTCACCGTCTGGCTTACGGTGGCGGGCGCCCTGCCGGCGTTCTGTTTGACTCGCATCATCTCGAGGAAGAAGAAGGAGATCGTGGAGAAGATGAAGAAGGAGAAGGAGAAGAAGGAGAAGGAGACCTCGGCTGGTTCGACAGAGCCAGCTGCTGCTTTCTGGCTGGTCACGCTGTCCGTCCCTGGACTACAGACCACTACTTTAGTAATTTTCCCTCAGAATCTGTGATTACTGTTCTTCGTTGATAATGTGATGGAAAGTCGGTTCTTTGTTTGATTAATATATATATATATGTATGAGAGTCTCATGAAAATTATGTAGGATGGTAATAGTGGGTACTTTGCAAAATTACCACATTGGGAGTTTAGAATGTAAGTACGTATCATAAACGGGTCTGTATAAGATCCAACATAACCTTCTCCCAATAACTTGGGACCAACTGGTTGTTGACATGGTATCAGAGCTGATTTGTCCTTGAGGTCACGTGTTCAAGTCCTCGCGACCCCCAATATTAACCGTTGTTTTTCAAGCACATGGTAGGGCTGGGCCTGTGCAAACTTCAAACCTTTCTCCCAACAACTCGAGTTATTGGGACCAACTGGTAGTTGACATACAAAGCTAGTTGAGGTTTGGTCTTTCTACCCTAAAAAAACGTGAGTTGATGTGGTGAATATTGTTTGTAAGTGTTTAAGCAAACAATAAAAAAACAATATCCACCTCTTCTGCTTTTAAAGTGTTGATATGAGTCATATTCAAAAAAAATTACGGCCACTACTCCAAACTTTCACTCATGTTGCATAGTTTCCACGAACACGATTCCATGGAAAGTGAATGGTAATCCGTCTCTTTCTTTCTCCGTTTTCCTGTAGAGAGGACGAATGAACGTGTGTGTCGTTCTCATGTAGCAGACAAAACATATGAACCATGGCCCAGCCATGAAATTTCTATGTATGTGTATTTGTATTGACGCGTTCCTGGAAGTTGCGGGAGGCATGCATGCACGACAATGAAAGTACTTAATAAGTAGGGCTTTGAAGGAAAAAAAAAAAACAGAGCATGAATTGGACAAAATGAGAACTATTTGATTTTTAGGAATACATGAGCAAAGGATTTCAGAATTTGTTCCTTTGAAGTCCAGGGTTCTTCGAAGACTTCAAGGTCATCGTCGTCAAGCCGAAAATGGTTTATTTTTTGTAGTAATACTCTAGCTAGCTAGGTAGGGTTGGTGGGTTTAGAGACTGTGCTTGATTAATTAGTTGTCTACTTTAATTTGTTTAATTAGTACGTAATATTAAGCATTAATTAATTAATTAGCACACGCGTATGCAAAGTTCCTTTCAACAATTCCTCATGAAAGTCCAATATTTTGGTAGTTTTTGTCTAGCTAGCTAGTAGGAAAGGAGGCAAAACGAACAAGAAAAATCCGACGATGAAAGGTAGTCAGTATATCGCGACTCGCAAGAAGTATAGTATCGGTTGCATATTTGATGAAATAAAACTCTTGGGTCGCATATTGTAGCGATTGTCGGTAAAACTGGTTATAAGTAGGAGATGATCATATACTCGTTACATAAGGAGTTGTAACGTAATCGATATTGAGAAAGTAAAAAAAGAGCGATAAAAATTCAGACTTAACATATTGGTCTGGTGGATATCTAATTTCGATAGATTACAAAGTTATTTGATGATGATCGAAGGATATAGCAATACGTGAACTCACGACTAAGGAGTCGTGAGTTTATTAATTGGTTGCCTTGCCTCAACAACATCACCCAACGACTCCAATTATTGAAACCAGATTGGCCTGGTTAGCGATATGATACTGTAGCTTTCAATAATCAAGAGATTTTGTGTTCGGATTCCGACGATCCTTTAAAGTCAAACACATGGTGTTCGGCCTTGTGCAAACTACAAGCCATATGAATTGACTTTTCGTTTGAGAGTGCATACTTGTAAATGGTATAGCATCCATAATTGAATCTTTGTCGCCGAACTAAAATTGCTCGAAGCAACCGGTTCTTGAGAATGCTATATCAAAATTTACTTCTTTCTTGTTAGATGGAGTACCGAATGTGGAATAGTAGAAACTAGAAAGTGGAATTGAAGGCTGAAAAGTGGCATCAATTTCCCAAAGATGGAAAGTATGGTGGGAAAGACTCGTTCTAGTCCTTCTTAATTGGGAAGACTTCGAAGTCAAATTTCAATAATAAAAGAGAATCTTAATAATTCGTTAACCTCAGGCCAATTCTGTCTAATTACTTTCAGGCCAATTATGTCGTAATGGTTCTTGGACAGCGGGCCGGTTCTTCAATCTGGGCTTGGGCCTTGTAATCTTACCCAAAAAGAACACGTCTTCATGAAAATATCAAAATTATTATTGGAATTAGATCTATAACAATCCCACTAAAGTAATTATTTATTAATTAATTACTAGTTGCAGCAGAAATGGTTCAAAGATATTTAGAAGATGAATTAAGAAAAGGGAATTCGTGAATTACGGCAGTGCTTACGTATGGTTTCTCATTAATAGTTCTTTGTATGAGGAACAAAAGACAGGCAGACTGTCAAGGAGACAGCTAGCAAATCGTGATTTTTTTTTTGAGGGAAGCAAATCGTGATTAATTACTGTTAATTAATTGATCATCTTGGTTTATTTAATCTTTCGATCGGTCTTTCCTTAACAAATTCGGTTGAATAACAATGTTCATACTAGTGATTCAGTTTGATTTTTGTTCTTTCTTCTGTTGTGGCGGCAGGTATTGTTTGTTTGAAGGGTTATGCATGGTGCAATGGCATCAGCGGCGGATCCAAAATTCGGTAGAGCACTGGGTCATATTGGGGAAAAAAATAGAGAGGATTGGGCCGTAAGACGACGAACAATGAAACGAACACCAAAAATAAAAAATTTACAAGTGCTATACTAGCTCCAGATCGAGGGAGGGCTGGGTCGTGGCCTGGGGGCGGCCCCCTAGATCGGCCGTTGAATGGCATAGTAAGGCCCTTGTTTGTTTTTTTTTCTCCTCATAATTAAGTGAACAGCTTTATAAAGAATCGATCGAGTTAACTTGTCAAAAGAGTACACAGATAAAGAATCAAGCTAAGATGAAAATCCAAAAACAAGACAAGTCTCGATAAGAGACTCGTACGAACAAAAAAACTATATTCGTTCAAAGTCTATTGTTGTTGTGCATTTCGTTCTTTTTCCGAGTAGGTATCAACACTTCACTAGTTTTTTTTTTTTCCAATCGAACTGGTGTGTAGAGCTGATAAAGGATTTTTATTTTCGTCTGGAAACTAACCTTGTGGTTACCAACTAGAGGAATGTTACAAAATTGATTGTTTAATATGACTTTCTTCTTCTTCCAAAGTGTGCCCAAAATTAGTAAACATAGTATTCAACATTCTTTGTTAACTTTTTTTTGCTTCTTATGTTTAAACCACTTTTTTATTGTAACCTTGGTGGGTGTATTCATTATGACCCTCTAGAGGGGGAATCACTTTATCATTTGGGCTTATAGTGAACATGTGGAAAGAGGACCAATTCAACGATTTTCGCAAGACCATGGAATCTGAATTTCACCTCTCCGTTGCTCCTTGTGCATGTTTCAAAGCCAAAACTCACAAATCTTTGAAATGAGAGGTACACCAAAAAGACCCAAGAATCCACACAAACTTAGAAAAAAACAACAAGTCAATCGATTGGGGCCAAAAAGACCTATCAATTCCATTCCATTACAATTCCAAGACTCCTCTCCTCTTCTTCTTTTCCTCTGTGTTTGCTCTAAAACCGTGTGGGTTCCACTTTTAGGCAACTTCGCCTTCCTTCCTTTGTCTTTGCTTCTCTTAAATTTCCTTCTCACTAAACCATCATCATCAATCATCAATCTTATGCAAAAAATTTTCTCTCTTTCCTTTTTGCTACACATATGATTCCTAATTTTCCTTCAAATCCGGTTCGACCAGATTAAGCCACTCACAATTCGACTCAAACCATATGGCTAGCGCTCATGATATGTCGTTTATGTAACCCGACCAGTTCACAACTCGTTTGACTTGCAATTCGATCGATCATATCAATTTGTGACCTGCTAGATACGTGATTCGATCAATGAATTGAAGCTGACATGGCCGAAGCATAGGATACCTTTAAAGTATCCATAACTTTTTCGGTGAACCATGAAATCTTATCTAGAACACATATCTAACACTTGATTTGCAACCGGACCATCCATTGAGTTAGTGAGTCAACCGTGATGAGCTAATTTTACTTGTAATCCAATCATCCGCTTCATTCACAACTCGATCAAGCAACCTGTCCGTAGCTTTAGGGTTTCTTTTTCTGACTATCTATAAGCTTCTCAACCAGTACGTAACTAACCTGCAAACAATAAGCTCATATCCCGATTAATCCGATTAACCAATAACCTTATTAAATTATAAGCCAAAAGAAACTAACTCCGACTCGATCCAACTCAACCCAGCCTTACATTTGTTAACACCTTTAACCCCACCACCATCACACCACTACACAATCTCCTCGGATGACTTGGTCGTTCAATTCAATCCCAATAGTTAGTCTCTTCCTCCCAAAAGAAAAAAAAATTCCACACAACAAAACATCCAATCACTACCCCATTTCCCTATATAAATCTTGTGCCTTTTGTTCCATGCACAACCAACCAACCCACAACCTAGAACAGCACAACAGAATCATTCCTCCACCTTCTCCATCATACATTCAAACACTGAATAGTGAATACTACTACTACTACTGACAAGCAAATATACTCTGTTTTCCAATCCTGTATTCATGGCTGACACTAATGAAATGAGCTCAGAACAACAACAGCACCAACGATTCGGCCTGCCCGGGTTTCGGTTCCACCCGACGGAGGAAGAGCTGGTCGAATTCTACCTCAAGAACATGATCTTCGGCAAGAAGCTCAGCCTCGACGTCATCGGCTACCTCAACATCTACCGCTACGATCCCAGGGAGCTTCCCAGTACGTTTACACAATATCACCCACTTCTCTCTGTTTTCCCCTGCTTCCGGTTGAACCAGTTAACCAATTCCGGCCATGAACTAATGTTTGTGGGGTTCTAATTTTGACAGGATTGGCGAAGACAGATGGGGAGAGGGAGTGGTATTTCTATGTCCCGAGGGACAGAAAGCACGGCAGCAATGGTCGGCCAAATCGGACGACGGAGAAAGGGTTCTGGAAAGCAACCGGGTCGGACCGGAAGATATGGCGGATGTCGGAGCCCAAGAGGCAGATTGGCCTGAGGAAGACTCTGGTTTTCTATCAGGGCAGAGCTCCCAGAGGAACCAAGACCGATTGGGTCATGAACGAGTACCGCCTCCCTGATTCCTCCCCTCTGCCCAAGGTGAGACTCTCCTGTCGTTTAATTATCGTTTAATCGTATGATTCTATGTCGGAGGATATCAAACGCGCAATTGGAAAACATAAACGTAACAACTAACGATGATATTAGTGACAGTCACAAAGTCAATCTGCATAGAACAAAAAAAAGTAACGATCTTTTTTAGATATTTTGTTTGCTTTTCTAGTAGTGTGAACTCTTGTGTATGAAAGTGCCAAAGAAAGTAAAAAATGGCAATTTCCAGGAAATTTACACATTTGCTCTGTCTCCATAATTTTGCAGGACATAGTGTTGTGCAAGATCTACAGAAAGGCAACTCCTTTGAGAGTCTTGGAACAGAGGGCAGGAATGGAAGAACAGCAACAACAATTCTTCATGAACGAGACAACTTCAACAACAATGGTGGACACTAATAACTTTAAGACCAATTTTAATCATACTCCATTATCATCCTCATCGTCCCCTTCAATGGACACAGCTACCACCACCATGTCCATGTCGCCAGACCCATGGGCCACCACATCCGGCCCACTTCACGAGATCCTTGGGCCGATGCCGGCGGTCGGCCCAAACGGATACATGCCCTTCATGATGAAGACGGAAGCTGCTGATCTTGCCACTAACTATAATGACGATGGTTACTATGGTGATGATGGGATTGGGGACTACAAAACGGTGCCGTCTGCTGCGGACGTGGTTTCGGCTTCTTGCACATTGCTGCAGCAGTTCCCGCCGCCGGCGGCCGGGGCAGAGGGGAAGGTGATGAACCATTGCAAGTTGCCGGAGCTTCAAGTGCCGAGCAAGCTGAGCGTAACAATGGGGGATTGGAGCCAGGACCCTTTCTGCTTGATCAGCCCTTGGCTTCATCAGAACTTGACCCCTTTGGCTACTCTCTTGAACTTGTAGATTAAGTATTTCCCTAGCTTAGAAGTAATTAATTATCGTTAATTATGTTGATTACATAAACTGTAATACTGTCTTTGGATCATGGGCTTTTTTGCCCCCCAAAACGCAGGCCCAATAATCTTGGGTCCTATGAGTTGCGTTTATTGAGGCCTAAGCCCATATTTCCAAGATCAAAAAGAAATGCAGAATCTCAATTCCTAGCTCAGTATGATTAAAGAATCAATGATTATGGAGGGCAAGATCCACTAATCTGGCTGCCTCCATGTTTCAGCCCTTATATAAATGCTGCAAACTGAAGGGGAAATCGTGTTAATGATCTTTAAACATTATTAATTTGGGACTTGTCAGTGTCCCCATGTGATGCAATTTGATATTCATCAGCTTTTAATCATAGAACTTGAGGTTAATTAACCTACCTGTAATGGTCCAATAATCCCTTTTCACTGTTAAGCTTTCTCCCATATGCAGAAAGGTAAAAAGAGAGACAGAAATTTAGTAGGAAACTGGAGACCATGTATATTAATGGACTTGAGTATCATTATCTTTTTGTCTTTCTATACAGATTGATTCATATACAAGTATCAAGTATGACTTTGATCTAGTTACAGATGGTGAATATTGAGAATGGAAGCTCTTGTTTTGATCAAACGCCTGAAGAGGCATTCGACTCCTTCCTCGAGGTCTTGAATGCATGGCTGCAAGTTCTTGAGATGAACTTGAACCTCTTCACTAGATTTGTTCATCTTCAAGGCGGCATCCACATCTGAGAATTCATTCTCGCTTGCTACTGCTGCAACCTTTTTAAGTTTGGAAACTAGTGACCAGCTGGTTGGCTTGAAAGTTGATTGAGAAATGAACGAAAGCAAGCACTGCAAAGCCTCAACAACAGCAGATTCAGCTTCCTTCAACATGGAGATGGCCTCGATGTTGTTGGATGAGGTGGATTTCTTGATAACCACACCCTTCAAGACCTTCTGGATCGCTTTGATCACAGTCTTCCTACATTTCAGGTATCTTCTGGTTTCTCCTTGCAGACCATCTTGCCTTCTGCGAATAGCGGACTGAAGGTCAGAAACAGACTCGTTCATTTGAGACAAGGCATCCTTGGCAGTATTGCACAAGTCCAAGAGCCCGAGGGAGCCATCTAATAGCTCATTGAAGCACTGCTGATCATTGATCAAGGCTTGTTGGGTTGTTGGAAGTTGTAGCAACTGGTCAACACAATCATAAACATCCTGAAGACCATTTAGATTTCGGCTTATGGATGATGATGATGTGGATGCAGCTTGAGATTGCCTCAACCTGCAGACCTGCTCATCGATTTCTGAAACTAGAGGGTGGGATCTTGTAGGCAGACTATTGGACCTAGCATGGAAGGAGAGAGCTGCCATTTTTCTGGTTTTCCTTCGT